TTCTCAAGCACAGCATCCAGAACATTACAGAAAAAAGTATATTGTATTGAATACATTTTGCAATTCTGTAAAAAAGTATAGTAATTGCAACAATTGAATATATTGTATAGGCCTACTGTATGTACTGCAAGAATAGTACTGAATGTTTGTATATATTCAGCACTGCAAAAATACTGCAGTCCAACTGCAAAGGCCAAAAAGGTCAAATAAAACTCTAAATGAATAGCATGTTACACTCAAATACTGTAAGTTGCGCAATCGTAAAATCGTAAAATATTAGATTTTTAAATATCTGTCTTACATAATATCACATGTCCACTGAACTACAACATTACTTAACACAATGTACTTAAACATGAATACAATGAACACTTTTAGACAAGCTACTGTCACCTGTGCAAAAAGAAATTCTTAGAAACAACAAGGCCTAGAATGTTAGGTCACCTCGAATTAAGGGTAGCACAAAGGATGTGGAGAAGTGAAATGTGTTAACAAAAGTCTCTTTTTGTTGCACTTTCTATTGGCCTTTTCCTTTTTCTTGTATTTGTGAAAGGAAATAGGGAACAATTTGAAGGATTGAATTCCATGGAGAGGAATGCAACCCAAACCCTTCTGAACTTCTAAAAATAAAAGCTTTTTAAATAGTGTTCACCCCCAACACCAACACAGTTTTTACTGCACTTAAAACAGGTTTATCTTTTTCCAAAAGCTGGCTAAAGTGCAATAATTGTCATGGAATTGCTCAGAAAATGCAGGTATCTGTTTCTACAGAGAACAGATTCACATTAACTCAGCAGCACTGAAGTTGTATGGAGGTGACAGAAAAAATACTAAACATAATACTTCATTTATGAACTCTGTTACGTAATTAGCTGACTGTCTGCTCAATATTTGGCCATGTTGCCAAACTGACAGTTGTAGAGCTCTGTATAATACACTTTATTGCACATAATGTCTATGTGTCCTGTTCCTGTGCAATGTTTTAGACAGTTGCATGTTCTCAAAGTTACACCAATGAAGAACATAGAATGTTAAATCTACAAACAGCTGAATACATTATTAGCCACACTAGAATCTGCAGAGGGTGTGTCACTCAATTTAAACCTGTAAATGAGAAATTTCTACTACAGTGTTCTAGACAAACACTTTTTTGCCCTACAATAACCATATTTAATTATTCAAAGATAGTACTGAATGTTTGTATATATTCAGCACTTGGATACTGCAAAAATACTGCAGTCCAACTGCAAAGGCCAAAAAGGTCAAATAAAACTCTAAATGAATAGCATGTTACACTCAAATACTGTAAGTTGTGCAATCGTAAAATCAGGGTCAATGAGAGATTCATTCTGTCTCAGCATCATGTCTTTGTGCTCGAGTCCGGCCTGAGGACTTTGTCCACATCACAAGTGCTTACATGTACTCTTCCTCCTCTCCTTCTCAGATTGTTTCCATCTGTTCGTATAATCATTCAGTCACCTGTGCTACTTGTGCACTCTGAACTGGCTCATATGTTGTACAGTTGGCTTGATCACATCATTAGAAACAAGTGTGAACAATTTTGAATCGTTGTGTGTAAATGATGACAACTGTGCTTTAGGTGTGTTTAACTTTGCCGCTTGTGTTTAGCATTTTGCAGCACAAATGCATCACAGTGTGATAAGCCAATGAGAATGTGTTTAGAGTTTTGCAAAAAGAGTTTTGCAAAAAGAGTGCATGAGATTTGCAAATAGAGCCTAACTGCCTGAACGTGTTTAAGGTTTAGCAGAAAGAGTGCTTTATTCAACAAATTGGTTTAAGCTAATGAGAATTTGGTTCAGAGATTGAGGTTTAGTGTTTTAGCAATTCAGAAAAACTGTAAGTGATAAGCACAACACAGCACTGTTTTTTTTATTATTATTTAAATGAAACTGGCACAAACATGAATTAACATGCCACATAAAACTCCATCACTGGTTTTGATTACTGCTGTTACACAATGTGGAATATAAATCAAATACATCTCAAAGATTTACTGGGGGAAATAAAGCTGTATTACTGACATGCTAGCGCATGTTAGCACTGCAAAACAAAATAATGAAATGTTAATTCATATAAAGCATAACCTGAGGCTGCAAACATTTACAGCTCTTCTGAGACACTCCTAGTGTTTGGTTCAGTGTTCAGGGTGTAATCTGAACTAAACCACTGATGAGCCACTTCTCAAAACTATCTGTTTGTAGACTAAATAACCAACTGATCTTACAATATCTTGAGACATCCTCTCAAGTGAGGACTATAAAACTAAAACTGCACTATAATTTTATATGAATAATATATAAAGTATTTACAATAAATAAAATTAAAGCCATTACCATTAAACAATAACATTAACAGGTTTAAAACCTAATTTGTGGTATGTACTTATATAATAAACTGAGTATGACATTACTAACTTTGTTATGTCGACTTACCGCCCTTGATCTAAACGGAACGCGCGCGACCACCGTGTTGTTACTTACTATACTATGGTTACTTACCTCATAAGTGAACTGTACTTTTATGTTCGCGAGTGTCTATTTAGTGCATGTAGCTTTTGTGGCTACGAAATTTTGTTGGAAATATATAACATCAAACACCACTTACCGGTCTGTTTTCGTACTCCAGGTAAGGACATGTGATTTTGGAGTTGCTCAACAGTATGGTCCCTCGATGGCAGGAATTCCGTTTGCTGCCCTCATATTTATAATACATAAGTCTGTCAGGTTTAAGTACAAACCAACGAGCTTTCCAATTTTGAACCACATGGCCCTACAAATGAACGTCGTGTGTTAATAATACAATAACAATTATGAATTAATTTGTCAGTATGGGTATGGATAAAAAAAAGTTCAGTCTCTTACCCTTTTCACCAGAAACCCCTCTTTAAGAACGCTGTTATTTTCTGACTCAGTGCCCATGTTAACTCCACTTCACCAGTCTAACTGTAGTCTCGATAAGCAGGTGAGCGCTTCATGAGGTGTTTTATAGCTTGCTGCCTTGGACTGTGAGTCATTGCGCGCACCTCCTATCGGCGCCCCCTGGTTTTAGGGCACACAATCAACACTGAGCAAGAAAACTTGGTCTGGGCATGAGTTTGATGAGAAAAAAAAATCAAATAATGTTGAAATTAAAAAAAATTAGAACTCGTAAAGTTTAATTAAGCTAGAATCAAACAAATGTGATTCTATTAAATCTAAAACAATGAACACAACTCTCCGTTGGGAACTTCCTGAAGGGGGCTGCTTTCATGAGTCACCAAGACGCAGTCAGACTGAGTCATTGATCTAGTTCAGGTGAGATTCAGAAATGCACTGACCGGATGTTTGTTGCTATGGCAATGCAGCTCATGGAAATAGCGTTTTGAAAGTCATGTACAAATTTTATTTCACTGGTCAAAACTGTAAGCAATAATTGTAACAGTACAACAACTAACATTAAGAAGCTATTGTAGGTTACATTATATAATGTTTAATGTTTAGAATAAATTCAGATTATTAGAAATTTTATTAATTTAATTTATCTAGCCTACATAGAGGAGACCAATGTTCGTTTTTTTTTTTTTTTGTAATTGTCAGCATAGCTGTTATCGTATAGCCTAGTTCTGAATGTTTCATCAGAATATTACAGAATTCTGAATGTTACTTTTAATGTAAACAAGTCTGTATACAGACTGTTAGGAAAAGTATCATAGACCAAAACTACAAATCAGACGCACACACGAATTTTGACATAAAACTGGAATTTGCCAACAGGCATGAATAGCTATGCTGAGACATTCTTTCACAATCTATGTGTGGATCATAAGCTCAGAAATTAGCGGCCATGTTCCTACATGAACTGTGTGAAGATGGTAAACTACAGCGGGAACACGGCCAAACCGCAGTTACCAAAAAAAACAAAAAAACATTGTTCATTCCCTTCTGTAGTGCACTAGATGGTGCTCTCGCGCAGCAATTGAGTATTTGGGAACTGACGACTCAAAACTGATTCTGTGAAATATTTGCACGGCTTACTTTTGTTTTCTGTTGTTTGGGGTAAAACGATGCCGCACCAGAACATAAACCAGATCCATTAAAAATCCCCTGACTGCAGTTCATGTTTCATGTGCTTGTAAATCTTAATGAAAGTTTGAAAACATAGGTCAGGTGGGGGAAGGTGTAGTTGGTGTGATGATGCAGATAAGTCAATTCTTAGTTTGAAGAAGTTTGTGAGGATTTCAGATCCTGGACTCCAAGCTAAAATCCCGGACCTGCTGATCCACTTTTAATTGAAACACACAGGACAAAGGTACACAGGCCCCATGGTCACAGCTGTTTGTGTTTGTGTGTGTGCGCGCGTGAGAGAGAGAAACATTCATGCCATGTTAACTTTAATGATTACCATATCGACTTTTTTTCTATAATTTCTTAATTGTATTATTGTTTATTTTTTGTCACTTGATACTTGACTTTTGCAGGGGGTTTTTTTTCTTTCTTTTGTCATTTTATATATGGACCATTTTTTGTATTAGATTGTATGGTTGCTATGGATATGACATTAGACAAATACTTTCACACACAAAGATCAGCTGTTTTACTGGGATTTGCTGCAGCTGGGGGCGTGTCATCAGAAATAACCATTAACACTGTTCAAACAGGATCCCGAAAGATATGACGTAAATTAAATCACACCCGGATGTAGAAGTACCTTTGACAGGCTTTTGAAAGAGCAGCACAATCAGAGGGGTTAAGGAACACAAACATTCAGACCCACACAAACATTCTTTGTCTGTTTATAGTGTTTCCTCTGGGTTCGGAGAATGGTAGCAATAAATTACCTGTTATCAAGCCATAGTACAGTTGTCAAATCATATAAAACATAAATGAAATTGTCTTTTATGAACCTACACTCACACAAAATCTCATTAAAATTGAACAAAACGGATTCTTTTACAAGCAATGTTTATATATATATATATATATATAAAGTTGTATGGAGGTGACAGAAAAAATACTAAACATAATACTTCATTTATGAACTCTGTTACGTAATTAGCTGACTGTCTGCTCAATATTTGGCCATGTTGCCAAACTGACAGTTGTAGAGCTCTGTATAATACACTTTATTGCACATAATGTCTATGTGTCCTGTTCCTGTGCAATGTTTTAGACAGTTGCATGTTCTCAAAGTTACACCAATGAAGAACATAGAATGTAAAATCTACAAACAGCTGAATACATTATTAGCCACACTAGAATCTGCAGAGGGTGTGTCACTCAATTTAAACCTGTAAATGAGAAATTTCTACTACAGCGTTCTAGACAAACACTTTTTTGCCCTACAATAACCATATTTAATTACCGGTATTCAAAGATAGAAAAAAGTTTTTTTTTTCTTTTTTTGAAAGTTGCATTTAAAATCCACTTGGCTAAAAAAATCTCTTTCTTCATCCTCTCACTTCAGAGTCGACTAACTCTGTGCCAAGACGTCACCACTTTTTCAGGATTAGCCATGGAGTCCCTCCATTGTTCCACTGCCTCAGTAGAACTGCTGTCGAAACCCAAGAGGACCTAGAAATGAAGGAATACACATAAAGACTGAAACTCAGGATGCCTTAAATTGGTCAAAAGTGACAGTAAAGAAATGGATGTTAAATAATGTTAAAAATGAAATTCTGATCAATTTAGATTAAATCATTTAAAAGATACTAAATGTAGTGTGTTATAGTAATGTATGTATTTTGCTCCAAACTGACCTGTCCAAGCAGGTGTTTTCTCCGAACAGAGCCACGACTGTAGAGTTTGACTGCCAGCTGCAGATTCTGGTCTTGATTGGTGATGGGCAAGTGAAGCACTTCCCCCCATTGGATCTGCCCCTCTGATGACTTCATCACCTTCGTCTTCCTCTTCAGTAAGACCTTACCCTCACTCAACAACTCAACCTTCACAAAGAATCCTAAAGAGAACGTCCATTTGCACAGTTCATTTGATCAACATTGTCATATTAGTCATTATCACCCTTCTACAACAATTAACTAAGGAGGAATATTAATAAGATATAAGAAGGATTTTAGGAGGAGAATTTAATTTATAATGAAATTATATTTAAAATGGATTAGGATGTAATAAGTTATCTTATTGAGAGTGCGAGATTATGATGATGAAAGCTGACTCACTCTGTGTAAGTGGTGAGGAAGATGATGGAAGGTTTTGAGCACTGAGGATCTGGAGTTGCATTCGACTACTCACTGGCTGGAAGCACAAGGCCAGCTGAAGCTCAGCATGACACACCTACAGAAACACACAGACACACACAAAATAATCCCCAATAGGCTTAGGTGTAATGTTGCATATATGTGTGTGTTTGTTGTTTGTGGGGTTTTTTTATGGCAGACTACCTGCTGCGACTCATTCACTGATTTATAGTTGAGACCCAAAACAATTTCTGACCCAGTAACAAACACACACACAGCCATTATTCATGATTCATCATCCACTGACTTTCATTCTGGAACATAGTTCTGTCAATTTCAAACACCTCATAACTGTAAAGACTTTCTTTTCAAAAAAGCAATTTTCCCTGTTAAGTGTTTGATTTCAGTCGCATGCACACAAAAGAAAAACACACAGGGTTTCCAAATGTTCACAAAATGTTATAGCTGGCAAAATCAGCAAATAGTGCCAAATCTGATACCTGTATGTGTGCATGGCAGCATTCAGTAGGCCGAACAATGTTTTGATGACCTACTTACAGTGAAATGATGTACAAAGATGATAAACACTCAGTAACACTCATTTTATGCAGAATTACATATCTGGATTTACATATATATACAGTATATGTATTTAGATGTTACTAATGATCAGTTTAGTTTTTAAACTGATCACAGTTTTATAAATGTGAAATATTTATAAATAATATATAAACGTGTATGTGTATGTACACAGACTACTGTTCAGTTTGGGGTTGGTATGATTTTTTTATGTTTTTTTTAGCCTCTTATGCTCACTAAGACTGCATTTCTATGATCAAAAATACAGTAAAAACAGTAATATTCTGAAATATTATTATAATTTGACATAACTGTTTTCTATTTTAATATATTTTAAAATGTAATGTTTTTTTCCTGTGATGGTAAAGCCATTACTCCAGTCTTCAGTGTCGTATGATCCTTCAGAAATCATTCTAATATGACAATTTGGTGTTCAAGAAACATTTCTTATAAAACAGACATCCTTCATTTTTCTGTGGAAACTATGAAACATTTTTTCAGGATTCTTTAATGAATAGAAAGTTAAAACAAGGTAAACAACATGTATTAATTAATTGCAAATGATTAATTGAAATCTTTTGTAACATTATATTATTATATGAGCTTCAGACAGATCAGTATTTTAAGGGTCAAGTTAATTCCTTCAAGAAGCGTTTTCAGCCGTATTGAAATGGCTGGTTTCAGCATATTGATTTCTTCCTCTCTCTCTGTCTGTCTGTTTCAGCCCTAGTGACCTAAATATCACAGGAGAGACCTGAGCAGAACTAGTGCAGCTGTGTAATTTGTGATGCAAGTAAAATATGTGGTCCAGTGGGTAATTGCAGGTGGAAGTTTACACTTTTTCTTTTTCAAATAACCTTATTGTCAAAACCAGGAAGGATCTGGAGAGGGAGAGACATTTGGGATTAGATATGCAGTCACAAAGGGATACAGCAGGTGAGGACTCACATGTGTTTTAGAGTGAGGCTTGAACTCCAGCCAGTGCTTTGTTTCCTGTGGTCCAAGGGTTCGCAGAGATAATACACACTCTCCCAGCGTACGCCTACGTGGAGTGTGAGCCTGCAGGCACAGCACCAGTGCAGATCTGCGTATCTGTTCTAAGTTCAGAGTGAACACAAATGTCTCCATGAAGACAGTGTCCTGAAAGCGAGACAGAGAGAGACAATATACTGAGAGGGATAACTAGTTACAAACTTAATCTGCAAAGAAAAGCAAAACAAACCAATACTGCAAGCTCTACACATGTTTTTACGTATCTGAGGAAGTATGATTTTTATGCAACTTTGGTTGTGTTGGACTTTTCAGTCCGGCTGGATGGGTCATTATTCAAGAAACACATGAGGGACTGAAGGGAGGGCTGAATAATTCATCACAACTAATTTGAATGATGACAGAACAACCATTCTCAATAAGCTTTTCTTGTTATATTGATCAGCAAGGTCTATGATTCCAGGAAAATGTTATTTCCATTCATCGTAATGGGAAAAACTGTGATATATGGTTCATATGTTTGGGTTTGTTAAGATTTTTTTTGTAAATTTTGAAAGAAGACTCTTAAGCTCATCAAGCCTGCATTTATTTGACTAGAAATACAGCAAAAATATTATATATATATATATATATGTTTAACAATGTTAAAAACAGTGGAAACTGTGATACATTTTTTTCTATGATTCTATGATTACTAAAAGATTCAAAACATTTATTTGAAACTGAAATCTTTTGTAACATACATTTCTTTATAGACACTTTTGATAAATTTATCAGCATCCTAATCCTGATAAATTTATTAGCATCCAGCATCCATCTAAATAAAAGTATTAATTTATTTAAAAAAAACAAATCTTATTGACCCCAAACTTTTAAATAGTAGTGTATGTTGCTTGCAAAATATTTTTTTTCCTCAGAATACATGGGTAATTTTAAAAGGCTGCCAAAGTAGAAAGGCAACTTTCAGAAGCATATGGTGTAATTCTGGAATCTACCAGCAGTGGATAATGCTAATCATTTTAACCCCTTGATATCAACAATGCTGAAGCTTGAATTGAATCTTGGGCATTGTAGTTTTATGATGGCTGGATTTCACTCACTGCTGATGCTTCCTTGACGGTGCTCTTAAATCGCACTGGCTTGGTCATGGTGATGACCCCTTTGACCCCAATCTGCTGCACCTCCACCCCGTCAGTATACACACTCAAGTCTGTACACTAAAAGAGAGGAAGTACCAAAAAGAGAGATAAAATGAGAAACAGTGAGAAAAGACGAAAGCAACATGTCCTGTTTATGAGCTTTTACAACCACTAAAACCACTGTATGGCAACAAAGGGCATTTTCTCAGAGGAGGAAGGGCCTTGTTTATATTAGAAAATAATTGACAGAAATAAAACAAAAATATTATGAAATATGAGATCAAACAGTCTTAATATTATAAACAACTCTAAGATACAACCGCATCTGGTCATATCCGAACATATAGTCAGTGTTGGGGAGTAACTAGTTACATATAACGGCGTTACGTAATTTAATTACAAAATAAATGTAACTGTAATCAGTTACAGTTACTAAGAAGTCCCCAACCTAAGGATTTAAACCTTTTTCATATGAGGTCCATACAAAAAAATAGGGTTGTCCATGTTTCAGAATTTGAGTCACTTCATGAGCATTTTACTTATTTTGAGAAAACTATCATCATATCATATACATTAAATAGGGTAACTTGTAATCTGTAACCTATTACATTTCCAAAGTAACCTTCCCAACACTGCATATAGTAAATAATGTCAATATAATTTAGCATTAAATTAACAATAATATATTATGTATACTGTATATTATGTGTAAAATAAAGAGGCAAAGACAGACAGATATACACATATTTCAATTATTTGAAAAAGAGAGATTAAAAATAGCTGGGTGGAAATGCGAACATTTGTTAAAGGTCTCTCAGTGCAACACAGAGGCTCCATTCATCTGGACTCTAGATGGGACACAATGGTCTGTTGTAGAGATGAAATCATACCTTCACTAAGGTGATCCACACCTGCTCCACTGCCTCTTCATACTTCAGGTGCACACACACTTTTCCCGGCTCACAATCTCGCTCATCGCCAGACAGTGGGATGGACTCTACGCACACATCCACGCAAACACATATAAATGTTTTATATATAATATTCTGTTTAATATTTAATATTCAGCTTAAGTGCTGTTGTTAAGAAAGAAAAAGAGGGACAAACCGAATTTGTAATCCAACTGTTTGCTCAGTGTTAATTAAAAACACATTCAATTAAATTAGAAAAATGCAAAATAGAAGCATTTCTCTAGTGGTCTCAGATGTTTGAACTCCACCTTATAAAACATAATGGATTTATATTTTCAGTGTATTGTTTGTGTTATGTAAAGATCCTCTCTGACTTGTGTACTGGACCTCAGGGAAAACATTTGGAAGTAATTACTGTCTGCTCTTTACGATTTCACAATCTGCAGTGATCTGAGTCTGTCCTGTGTGTGTGTGTGCGCAAGTTTGTTTGAGAGTCTGTGTTTAAGTGTGTACAGGGTGATGAGAGGGGGTTAAGATTGCTGGGAAATAAAGGGTCCAAAAAGACCCCTGAAAAAAAAAAAAAAAAAAAGGAAAACCAAACAAATGAAACTGTAGTGGAAATTCCAGGTAACACTGGAGCGGAACCCTTTCCAGAAAGTTCTATTGGAAGGGAACTTTGAGGGTTCTTTTGGAATGCGCTTGCCTGCGGATACGATTTCAGTGTTCCATCATGAATGGTTACCTAGACTACGGCTGCTCCCAAAGGAATCCTGAATGGAGGATGTGCTGCTCTGGACACTGGATACAGAATCATAACGCTTGGAGGAACAAGAGAGGAATAAATGTTACTGAACAACACCACTGCTAATCATTAAACAGTAAAGTATTAATGTATATACACCACACTTCAATAAAGAATTTAATCTGATCTTGATTGAAACAAGACCACAAACTTTTTATTTAACTTGAAAAATAAAATAAAATAAAATAAAAACCTCACCAAATTGAACAGCACCATAACCAATTTGCAATTCATAGACTTCCCAATAGTGATGATGATTTCTGACATACTAACAATGCATGGAAGTAGTATGATAACTAAAGTTATTAATTATTAACGAAGATAAATATTAATTGAGATAAATATGAATTATTCCAGTAACGAAGGCAATATTATTAATATTTTATTAATATATCTTATTAATATATTAATAATATATCTTGCCTTAATTTTCAAAGTTGATAGCCGAGCTACTCTTGAAGTGCAGTTTGCTCTGAAAAAGTATAGTGTTTATATAAATAATGATAAATAAAAATCATAAATAATGTTGACTAATTATTATATTCCTCTATGATATACACTACCGCAATCGTTAGGACTTTTTAAAACAATTAATACAAAGAAATTTATCAAAATGTTGAACTTTCTATTCATAAAAATCCTAAAAAAAAACTGTATCATGTTTACACAAATATATTAAGCAACGCAATCATATTCACTATTGTTAATAAGAAAAGTTTCTTGAGCACCAAATTAGCATATTAGAATGATTTTTGAAGGGTCATTTGACACTGAAGACTGGAATAATGACAGCAGGAAATGCCATCACAGGGATATATTACATTTCTTTATATACATCATATAATAATAGCTTACATGTGAACAGGTGTATGGGATCTCAGCAGCATGTGAATGATGTAGTTTTAATTACGATGAAGTTTTATGGATTGGGTTGTTATGTGTGTGTGTGTGTGTGTGTGTGTGCATTTCTGTGAACTCACCTGTACGTGGCCCTGAGTGTTTGACAAATCATACATGGAAAGACTGAGTCTCTGTTTGTCACTGTGTTCCAAACCTGTGAAACAAACAGACATAAATCATTTAATTGATTTTACTCTTAGAAAGAAAACAACTATGTAAAGCATTCAAATGATCTGAATGTGGCCTCTCAACAATATGATCTGGGACACTGTCAGTGCAAATTTGCCATGAACAATTGGGGATTTAGGAGCAGGAATAAAACAGAAGGATTATGCACAGGTGGTTAGGAATGTAAATATTTGAGGTTACATGCTGAGAAGTTATGTACTGAGTGATGCTATGAGGAAGTGAAATTGCACTCTTTAAACAACACACACAGGTAATAAACAGACTTGGTGTTTTAGGCACATCTAAAGGTGTCTCACCTGTGCCAGGACTGCTGTTGGGTCTGATTTTCAGAGTGGGGCGTCTCAGTGAGCCTGGTGACACGTAGCTGATCATATGACTGCTGTTTAAGGTCAAATCAGGGTCATACATCATTTGACCGGCTCCTGCGAGTTCTGCCTTCCTTTCTGCATAAGTGGTCCTTGTGGCACCTAAAACCCATCGTATCAAATTTGTACTTAAATATGTACTTAAAAAAATAGAATGTAATAAAAATAACATAACAATTTTACTTTTTAATTAAATTTAACTAAATAAATAAATAACTATAGTCATATTGCTTACTCTGTTGCCCAATGTTGTAGCCAGAGCACTGTGCTCCTCTCGGCTGGATATAGGAAGGTTTGAAGTTTGGGACAACGAATGGAACCTCCCGGCCATCCGGAGGCAGTTTAGACAGCAGATAATCCTCTGATACTCCAACATTCCTCTTCACATTAGACTCAGCAGTTAATTTACCAGGAGGTCGAACCTTAATCACTATAAAACATTTAAATGTATACAAATACATCTTTTCTAATTCATATATGAGGTTATATTTATATAGGCTACAGTATATGTGTGTACGCATAATGAAAACAACAATAATGAGGAGGTAAAAGGGAGAGAGAGAGACTTACTCTGAATCGCTGGCTCGTTTTTCTTGGACATAAATGTCCTGCAGCAGTCTTTGATACATTCTGTCATGTTGATGATCTTTACAAAAATCCCAAACCAATCACATAAAAAGACTGAAAATAAGATATTTATATGAATTAACCTGAAACTGTACTACAGTGGACAGAATTCTATCTTTTCTAGTCACAAACATTCCCAACACAATGTCAATATCATCACGTCAGCTTATGTTGTGTGTGTAATTTTGTGGTGGAAATAAATACATTTTTGAGAGAGAGAAAAATAGCAACATTGGTTGCTGTAGTGGAAATGAGGCCACAACTAAGGAAGGCACTTTCAAAATTACTGAAAATATGAGCTAAATAATTTTCACACAATAAATGTCACTAAATAATTTATTTCACTTTATCTTTAGATTATCATCGTTTTAATCATGTAATAATTCTGTATTAGAATGAATTTTCGTGGTAAGATTGAAAGTTGTGTCTGGGATAACGGTAAAACATTACAATCTACACATCAAAGACATTTGAAAATTAGCAAAAATAAATGGTAAAGGCATTTAACAACAGGAAAAAAAAGCTGAGGCATAAAAGTGCCCGCAGTAGCCCAAAGTTGCAGAAATACATATAGGCTAAATAGGATATATAATACGGTTATAATTATTTCAACAATTATGATTAACCGCTTTTTTGTTCTTTTTGACAAGGAACATCATGTTTGTGAATAAGGTTGTACGTACCTGTGCTGCTGTCCGCGAGGAGCTGAAATCTCTGAGCTCGCGAGTGCAGCAGGTGCGTCTGAAGCCTCCAGTGAGCACCAAAACTTCTGCCTACGGTTGGGTCCTAGTGTCCGCCGCTCCCAATTAACGCTGCTGAGGACAAATACCACTCTTTTGATCACTGTGACACGAACGAAAGTTTACACCCCTACTCAGTCAGTCACACGCATAATATGTATATTAATTCCTCAAATCTTTACACATTCAAAACTCTGTTGTTATTGACCCCTTGATAACTAATATGTAGACCTACATCAAAATTCAGGTCCTTATTATAATATTCGTCTCATTTTATTAAACACCTTGTTAATTATAATCACTAATGCCCAACTTTCTAGACATGAGACTACATTTGCTAAAAGTAAACACAAACCAACAAAAGTTCAGGTCATCAAATTTGTGTTTATTGATTGACCAGGCTCTCTTTACCTGTCAAATAAAAACAGATACACAGAGGAAATTCTGCACAGATGCAATAAGAAATTCTGAGCCAGAACAAAGACTTTTTTTTTTAGACTTCCCTGGGAAATGGGTGCTGGAGGTGCGCTGCAGACTCCTGTCAAGAGTTATTTAGAACATTTTCAAAAACGTGATTTTGTAGCATGTGCAAGCCTGGCAGCTCTCTCACTGCTTGGGGTCATAAAAGGTCAAGAACAAATGAAAGCAGCGCTCAAATACTCACATTCACAGTGAGAACATGTGACACAGGTGCCGCTAAAAGTACAAAAACAAATCCAGCTTCACAGAAAAAACAAGACACTTCAGGATCTGCAATTGTGGCAAGAAAAATCACAATGGGAAATGTAAAACAAACAAGAAAAAACACAACATAAATATTCTTCTTTGTACGGGTACATGCATGTGACTGCAGATGACAATGACAGCCAGGCAGCCTAATCAAAAATCTTTATTATTAAATGTCAAACATTAGCACAAGCTCTGCCCACTAGAGAGCCGATAGAGTGGGTGATGACCACACGAGAGTCCAGATCCACAGAACAAACAAAATGAAGAAATGCAGCTGCCTGACGGGTAGTGCAGTAACAGGAAGTCCAAGATAGAGGTATGGGGCCATGAAGAGGTGAGAGGTCAGTGGTTCATTTGTAAAGCCTCAGAATGGATGTTCAGAGACAAATATTGTGAGGCGGATGATTGAACTGCCTCGGAAGTTGATGACGTTGTTAACGGTAACCATCTCTAGATCTAGAACGATGGTCTTTGGTCCTTTAATGGGTCGAGCCAGAACCAAAGTTGCACTGATATTACTGGTTTGCTGTGGAAAAAAAATTGAAAGAATGTTTTCATATTTGATTAATTAATTCTGAGTCACTCTTTCTCTTCAGAGTTGAAACACTGCTTTCACACACTTGGGCAAATTATATGAAAACAAACTCTTGCAACAATTTCAAATGGTATTTGATTAGCTAAGGGACTCCTAGGACCCATAAAGATGTTGTGGTTTGGCTTCAGAGTAATTTTGAAGGAAAGTCTCACAGAAATCCTACAGTTCCCTCTAGTGGTCACCTTTATATATAAACTAACATTCAAAAGCATCCTTCTCTGTAAGATGTTTTAATTGTTTTTGAAAGAAGTCTCTTATAGTCACCATGGCTGCATTTATTTGATGAAAAATACAGTAACATTGTAAAATATTCTTAACATTTAAAATAAGTGTTCTATTTGAATATATTTTAAAATATAATTTATTCTTGTGATGGCAAAGCTGAATTTTCAGCAGCCATAACTTCAGTCTTCAGTGTCACATGATCCTTCAGAAATCATTCTAATATGCTGATTTGGTGCTCAAGAAACATTTCTTATTATCTCAATCAAAACAGTTGTGCTTGGAAAGCGTGAATTTTTGTCAGGATTCTTTGATGAATAGCAAGTTCAAAATATTTTGTAACATTATAAATGTCTTACTGTCACTTTTGATCAAACGATTGCATCCTTGCTGAATAGAAGTATTAATTTCTTTTTAAAAAATTGTTGACCCTAAACTTTTGAACAGTAATGTAAATGTTTTACAACAGGCATCAGTTACAAAGAGAAAAAAGGCATCAATACAAAGAGAAGCCCATTTACCCGCATGTAAAACTCTCGCCCCTCGTTGCCAGACTTGATCTGAAAGATGTAAAATGCTCCAGGGTAACGGGTGGTGGCCTGCATTTGAAATATATCGGCAGGAACACTGCGGCCAGAAGACAAATCCATATGCCTGTACAAGACAGTAAAGGGTCTTTCCCGACACGCGGGATTCTCCGCAGAACACATGCACTGACTGAGAGAGAAAGAGAGAAATATATTCAGAACACGCTGCAACGGCAACAAAAACCAATAAGTCAAATTACTGACTAAAGCAAACAGGTTTTCTTTTGCCAACATTCATGAACTCACTTGTCACTGAGCTCTATGTAAGGTGGTACACATCTAAGAGGGTCCAGACATGTGTAACCTCCCTGGAAATTGAAACACACTTGTGCTGTTGTACAGGTGTTGTTACCAGACTCACATTCATTGAGGTCTTGAAAATCAAACACACAACAGACAGAAGTAGGGTTATCATCATCATCATGATTCATGATCATTAACAGCAACAATAACAACAACATCAATGTAAAGGGAGCTAAATGGTTCAGCAGATGTGAAATATTCTTGTGTTTAAGGTCCGAAAATTCTGCAAATGGCTAATGCCAATAGCAAAAATAAATATTTGGCTATTAATGGCCATAAATACTTCTTACTTGCTATGAAACTGCATTTTTCTTGATTTTATTTTAAAAAGTATATTACTATACTCATAATGCATATTATGCATACCGAAGGAAAACAATGCAAATCATTGCTATATCATCATATACAACACAAAAATTGTCTCTCTGTAAAACTGCACTTGTCACAAAAATGTGAAACATAATTTTGTTTTAGTGGTTTAAATTGAGAAATATTCCACATTTGTGTCACAACAAGGAGAAATGCACCTAGAAGGTGGAAGGAACATTTAGAAAAATATAAATGATTCAACAAAATCACATTGAAAGAAGCACATAAACCTTCACAGCTCCTTCCATCTTCATACACGTAATATCCAGGCGGACACACGCAGGAGAATGATCCTGGTGTGTTCACACACGTGTGCTGACAAAGGAAGTCTGAGAAACTGCACTCATCCAGATCTGAGAATGGGTAGTGATAAAGACAGACACATTACACACTATCAATGCACGCAGTCACACATAAAAATTCAGGCAACAAACATCTTAAACCTCTCTAAAACCTCTAAATTGGGACCTTCCTGTTCTCAGCCCCCTATCTTTCTCTATTCTAAGCATCTCTTCTCCTCCCCTGATTACCATTGCAGGTGGTCCCATCAGAGGCGAGCTCGAAGCCCTCGTCACAGGTACACATGAATGAGCCATATGTGTTCAAACAGCCGTGAGCGCATGGGTTTGTCTCACACTCGTCCACATCTGGCGAGAGTGGAAAAGGAAGAAAATTTTCAGTGATCAACAATGATCAAACTAATATGATATTCCTGTGTATATGTGCACCTTGGCATGTCCTGCTATCTGCATTAAGGAATCCAGGGCTACAGGAGCAGGAATATGAGCCAGGGACATTAGCGCACAGCTGCTGGCAGTAACCATAGCGACACTCATCAATGTCTAAAGAAAGGTGAGTTAGAGAGCACTAAATATGCAAACAGTAGTCACAGCTGAATTAAGACATTGTTTAGTGTCAAATAAGATTGATTATTGATTATTATTTCAGCATTTAAACATCAAACAAACAAAACTAGATTACTGCATAATTTAACTGTAAAAACAACTGAATTGTCATAATTTAACTGTTAAAAAAACAGTAACTGGACTTTAATTTACACTACTGTTCAAAGTTTTAGGGTTGATAGGAATTTTAATGTTTTTGAAAGAAATGTCTTATGTTCACCACGGCTGCATTTATTTGATCAAAAATACAGTAAAAACAGTAATATTGTGAAATATTATTAAAATTTAAAAGAAATGTTTTCTATTTTAATATACTTTTAAATGTAATTTATTCTTGTGATGCAAAGCTGAATTTTCAGCAGCCATTACTCCAGTCTTCAGTGTCACATGATCCTTCAGAAATCATTCTAATATACTGATTTGGTGCTCAAGAAACAATTCTTATTATTATTAATGTTGAAAACAGTTGTGCTGCGTAATATTTTTGTAGAAACTATGATGCATTTTTTTTAGGATTCTGTGAGGGACATGAAAGAGCAAAAGAACAACATTCATTTGAAATAGAAATCTTTTGTAACCTTACTGTCACCTTTGATTAATTTAATGCATCCTTGCTGAATAAAAATATTAATTTATTTTACAAAAGTCTTACTCACCCCAATGTTTTGAACAGAAGTGAACTTTAACACTAACATAACGACAACTGGTTTATTAAAGGATTTACTGTGTACATGTTGTGTCACTTGGCATATCCATGTAGACATCACAAATTAAAGCATACAGTATAACATCAAATTAGTCATTTGTAATGTCTGTAAATCTTACCTTGGCACTGTCCACCCACCAGCCAGTAGCCCTCAGTACATGAGCAGGTATATCCACCAGCTGTATTTATACACACCTGAGTTGGGTTACATTGGTGCAACTCTGTCTCACATTCATCAACATCTAAAAAAAGGAAAGAAAGCCACAGTCAGCTCCTACTTGTGCTTTTCCCACCACTGTCCACTTTAGAAACTCGCCTGAAACGATTCACACAAAAATATATGGGAATATACTGCCAAATATAATGTGATATATTCAATGGTCGAATTGTAAAAAAAAAAAAATCAGGGGGACAATTGGGATGGTGTGGTCAATTTCTTTTTTCTGGTTACAAATGATTACAAAATTTGTCTAATTTTTAAAAAGGTTTTTATTTAATGAAAAATTAGCCTTATTAAATGAACTATTATTTATAAGCTTTTTTCCCCTTC